TTTTTCCTTTCCTTCTAATAATTGATTTCACCTTTATCAACACACTATCCGGTTCCATCTTCAAGGCTCAAGCCATCACCATCGTGATGTTCACGCTGAATGCATAAAATCATTTTTCATATTTAACCTAATCTCCTTCATATTTGTACTTTGTAGTATCCTTCCTATACATAGATAGAGTTAAATAATAATAGTAACAATAGGAAAAAGGCAGGGGGGAAGTTAGCAAAACCCAAACTTGTGGCTGCGAAATGGTGGGTGGTGGGGTTTCTTTTTTTTCTTTTTTTTTTTTTTTATGGGAGGTGGGGTTTCAAAATCATAGACAACTATAGATGGTACGACATTGCAAAACCTCTGGCGGGGAGACAAAAAAAAAAAAAAAGAAAAAAAGAAAAAACACAATTCCCTAACTTACAATCTTATATTACCATTCAAAACGGATGTGTTTTCAAAATAACTAATATCAAGAACCAATTAGTCCCAAATCATAGGGAGTGGTTGAATTTATTGATCATATATAATTTACTAGCACCGTAGCCTACTCATATGTGGGTGCTTAAAGTGTGCATAGATATCAGACGCTATGATCTTAACAAAACAAATACAAATCATTAAAATTGGAACAAACACCTCTCAATCACAAAAGACCTTGATAACCGAATCATAATCTTATTACTTGAAAATGTGTGATGTTAATCCCTCAATCTACTTTTTTACGAAACTTGTGGCTGAGAATTGGCGGGTGGGTTGTGGTGGGGACTGCAAAATCAAATACTATAACCAGAATATATATGTGTGCGCTATGTTGGTTGCATTTGCAAGGCCAGCAGAGCAGCAGAGGCCAACTCAATTTCCTTCCCCCTCTTCACCAAAGTTCACGTGAACTTGTAGTATTGTTTGTTTCCATGCCATCTTTCCTTTTTCTATTCTAGGCAGGCAGCTTAGCGAGACCCGTGAAACTACTGTTGTTGCTCTTCTCTTCTCTTCTGTACTGTACTGTTGGCGAATTAACACCACAAATAACAATTGGCTAACACCTACCTAGCTAGCTCCCTATATCGCATCAATTTCCTTTCATTCCTTCATTATACAATAATAATAATTCTCTCTATCTTGTCGGTTAAATGATCTATCGTTAGATGTACTTCAATGCGCTCCGACCAATCTCAATGCTCAATCATTGTTTTCTATTGAATTGAACTTCAGGTTTTCTATTGAATTGAATTTCCAGAAAAATCATTCAAAATTTACTTTGATTTTAAAAATTTACCGTTTATGAAAATGAGGGTTAAGTTTTATAGTTTATAATTTTAAGTTTCATAATTTAAGATTTAACGTTTGGAATAATGCAAGAATTAGTTGTGATGCATTATATTAAAGCCACATCTATTAAAAAAAAAGCTCAAAGATATAAATTACCACGTGAAGTATATATACGAAACATGTGAACCGATCTCTCAACTATATAAGTGATTAAACACCATCATCTATAATCAAGATAGAACAATTAATATACATGCATGTTCAATCACCTTCTCTACTTCATACTTGCTTGGCTTTATTAGCCGTATATTTACGTACCTATGATATATAGGAGAATCACTGTCACCTGTCTCTAATAAATATTAAATTTAAAGGAAACAAAACAACGTAACAAAACACAAGAAGCCCCAAATTGAACACAACTCACACTTGCAAATAAAATTCTGATTAGGATATTGTTGCAAAATAAACAATAAATACCTAAACTACACTCTGCCAATTATTATTATTATTATTATTATAATATAAGATTACTAAATTGTTCGTACAAAGTATTCTAATCCACCTATATATCTCGTTTTATTTTCTGCTCAAAGGAAAGAAGAAGATGGTAAAGACAGAAAGGAAAAGCTAGAGTACGTCACTCTTGACTTGTGCGGCTAAACCTCGATTCGACCGGTCGGATTTCTCTTACCAATTGAACCTACGAACTAGCCCGGTTCATTTATATGCTTTCCCCCCTCCTCATCTCATGCATGCACTCAAGAAGAAAGAAGAGGAAACCTTCTTTCTTGGGATCGGTTAACATGCTAACTCTTCTAAGGGTTGAAAAAATGACACTTCTATTAATTATAGTTATTTTTTTGTATTAAATTCGTGATGCATTTAATAATCTTTGAAAATTAAAAACTCATCTTAATTACAACTATCATTGCACCTGTATACGAACTCATATTAATTACGTTCCTTTTTTGGAACTACCATTGCACCTGTACACTACTATCATTGCACTGATACAACTATCAGTGCACTGGAAAAAGGAAAATAATTTAATACGTGTTTTTAACACATACAGATTATTAAATGCAACACTAATTAATTACCTTAAAAACCTAAATTGGGGTATCATTTTTCCAACCCTTTTAGGAGTAGGCATGCTATCTCATCCTCTACACCCTCTACGCCAAGCCGTTGCGTTCCGGATAGTATAGGTAATCGTATACCAGATGTAATCAGGGGCAAAGCTAGAGGCAAACAAGGGGTTATATAGCACTCCTTGGATTTGGAGAAAAAGCCCAAAAATTAATAATGTTAGTATGTTAATAATGATATTTAATTCCTTAATTTCAAAAATAATTGTTAAATGTGTTATCATTAAACCACAACAAAATATATTCATCTACTAATATCAACATTTCTACATTCTAGTTTATCAAGATGGATAAGAAATGCAAACTATTAGAGAAAATTATTAAATTCTTATATGCTAACGATATATAGTCGAAAAGAGAAAATAAGTTCTCATCAATGTATTTGCTTGTGAAATTTGATTTGATTTGCTACCGACAGTTGTCAATGCACAAGTTGATAACATTTTTTGCATTGAAATGTTGACTAGCTTTTCGCATCAAGTGAATTGAAATGGTGAATGGTTATTTGGTGGGATACATTAAGTGTGAAATCTTGATAGTTGAGCCGATTCATATAGTTTTATAATAATTTCAATGTATGAAATTTTTTATAGCACTCTTTTAATAAAATCATGGCTTCGCCACTAGCTGTAATCCCCGTGCTGGATAATTTGAGCATACAATACTATCTTTCTTATCGTAAAAATAGTATATTTATCGTCAATCAAATTGGACTATCATGCAGTGGCATAGCCATGATTCGAGTTTAGTGTGGTCCCATTTATGAAAAAATTATATAATATATACATTTAAATTCGTCAGTTCAATACATCCAACTGAGTAGTCATTCATCAAACTATCAATTAATTCATAATTGACATGTGAAATTTCCATAGCTAGCTAATAAACTAACACATTATAGTGATATCATAAAATGAGTTTACGACCAAAGAAATTTTATCTTAATAAAAATAATGTGTGTTAGGTTAATAAAATGTCTTCTTAGTTATGGCGAGAGGGTTTTTTTAATATGTCTAGCAAAATGGAATTTTTTTAATTACAGGTTATAAAGTTAAGGACTTTCAATATTCTTTCATCTATATAGTGTTATTATCTGGGGTCGGTTAGCATGCTAACCCCCCTTAGGGGTTGGAAAAATGACACCCCCTAGTATATTAAATACAACTATAATTAATACATAATAATTAATACACACATTAAATACACATTAGAAATTAAATGTATCATATTAATTAGGAATTCTCTCACTATTAAATACACATTAGTAATTAAATACACACATTAAATACACATTAGGAATTCTCTCACTATATTTGATTTTTCCTTTTTCAGCAGTCTCCGACCACCAGACTTCCTCCGAACGCCACACTTCTCCGGTGAAAATCCCATCGGCAGACTCCCTCCGACCACCTCCAAAAAATATACCACTGCACTGATACGGTGTACCACTGTACTGGTAGATATACCACTGCACTGATACGTTGTACCACTGTACTGGTAGATATACCACTGCACTGGTAGCGATATCAGTGCACTGGTAGCAATGTCATATCTGAGTATCAGTGCAGTGGTACAAATACCAGTAAAGTGGTAATTAATGTGGTGTATTTAATGCTTACTTTGTATTTAATAACAGAACATTTATTATGTTTACTTTCATTAGTACTTGTCAATAATTAATGAAAAATTGACCAATTAAAAGGGGGTGTAAAAAAACCAACCCCTTAAGGGGTTAGCATGCTAACCCGTCCCTTATTATCTATGTATATTATAAAACCCGCCCAAACCCATGGGTTTTACTTACTTGGGTTTGGGTTTGACAAAACCCGCCCCAACCCGACCCATTGCCATCCCTAATACTAATCCATTATATTCTAATTAAGATACTGTTCTATGTCAGCACAATAACTCATAAATACGACGACCTCAATATTCGTGCATAGTAACATAATACACCTGTTTTTTCTTCTGCTCATAGAAGAGAACAAAAGGACAGAAAGGAAAGCTGGGTTTATTAGGAATACGATCCTATGGTTCCAAGCTTAACTCGGTTCAGCCGTATTGTCCTTAGTAATGGACCCATACGAAATGATCCGGTTCATTTTAACCCAAATCCAATTCTTTAGAAAGTTTTTTGGTTCGATGTAATATGATCACATAATTCAACATTTATATTGATCCGCAAGGCAATTGTTGATGACACGGTTTCTGTAAGTTTTTGGGTTGGATGTAATATGATCAGATAGTAAACAATGGAATTACTCGTCGAATGCTGGCCGAAGTTCGTACCCTTCTAACTCGCCCTATCACTCACGACCCTTTTCAATCCGACCAAACCGGTTTCCCAACGCTTCTTATGCATTTCGGTTGGGCCAGTTTCATGAACCATAGCCATCTCTCACTTCACTATATATTATATGCACACACACTATGGAATGGAGTGTCCCTTATTAAGCCCACTTCCCAACATCATTCATTCATTCATCATTCACAAGCAGCAAAACAACAACAATGAGAGCTTGAAGTGAGGAAAAAGAGAATCTGCTCAGAATTTCATTCCCATCGCCCCCCAAACCCAAAAAAAAAATGAAGAAACAAGGATTCGAAATCGAAGCATCCGGGATCACTTACACAATCCCGGCGAAATCACCGCCGCCGTCGCCTCCGTCCGCCGCGAAAAAGCGACCACCCTTCTTCCCAAACATCTTCGCCGGCGACAACGACCACGGCCGGGGAAGGAAAAAGACCGTCCTCGACGACGTCACCTTCACAGCGAAGCCGTGGGAAGTCCTGGCCATCGTGGGCCCCAGCGGCGCCGGCAAATCCACCCTCCTCGAAATCCTTGCCGGAAAAATCTCTCCGACGGCCGGATCCGTCCTCGTCAACGGCACCCCAGTCGCCGACGAGGACCGCCGGTTCCTCAACAAGATCTCCGGCTACGTCACCCAGCGCGACACCCTTTTCCCCCTCCTCACCGTCGAGGAAACCTTAATGTTCAGCGCCAAGCTCCGCCTCCAGAAAATCCCCAAATCCGAGCTCGGATCCCGGGTCGGGTCGCTGATGCAGGAGCTCGGGCTGACCCACGCGGCGGGGACGCGGGTCGGGGACGAATCGGGCCGGGTCAGGGGGATCTCGGGCGGGGAGCGGCGCCGGGTCTCGATCGGCGTCGACGTGATCCACGACCCGAAGGTCCTGATCCTCGACGAGCCTACCTCGGGGCTCGACAGCTCGTCGGCGCTGCAGATCGTCGGGCTGCTGAAATCGATGGCGGAGACGAGAGGCCGGACGATCGTGCTCAGTATCCACCAGCCGGGGTTCCGGATCGTGAAGCTCTTCAATTCCGTCTTGTTCATGGCCGGCGGGTCGGTTCTCCACCACGGGTCGGCGGACGGGCTCGGGTCGAGGCTGAGGGCGGTCGGGTTGCAGGTGCCGGGTCGGGTCAATGTAGTCGAGTTCGCCATGGAGTCCGTCGAAACGTTTCGCGAGCGGGTTCGCGATTGCAAGCGAGGAGAAGTCGTCGTGGCGGCTGCGGCGGCGGTGGGGAAGCGGAGCGGGAAGTGTACGCTGCAGCAGCTTTTCGATCTGCAGGCGGCGTCTTCGGTTGGACATCACAGCAATCGAATTGCGGACGAGGAAAGCGCCATCATCAATATCGGGTTGGAGGATTCGGAATTCGGGTTGTGGGGTGACTATCATCAGTACCCGAATTCTTGGTTCCGGGAAACCATGATTCTTACTCACAGGTTTGTTTATTTATTTTCTCTCTTATTTTTAGTAACTTGTGATTTGCAAGTGATCTTTGCTTAAAATGTACATGCAACTTTTTCCAAACATGTACATGGATTTTAGATGATAAATGGGAAATATTGGTTATCAAAATCATCACTTTTTTTTATAGATATTTGTACTTAATAATCCAGGAATTTAAATTATATATTTGAGCTGGATAATATGTATCTTATAATGATAAATTGATAACAGGTTACTAATCAACTTCTTAATTTTTTTCAAAAATTTTACAATCGATTTAAGATTTTTCAAGGTAATTAAAGGCTTAATTTCATGTAACCATAAGATAAACCACGATGTACTAATGGATGCATATAAGCTACGTTGGACGTACTACTCATCAATTTTTTAAATGTCAATTGTGAACATTTGTTTAATATGATAATAATATTCGTTTGCATACGATAACTCCATTTATTTCTATTAAAAAACCCTTATAATTTTCCATTAAATTTATTTCTGGTTGTACCGAACAATTTTTGTATAAATGTCAAACATACAAGTAAATTGAGATTCTCACATTTTCTTGTTCATTGTTTATACAATGGCACAACATATGAATCAAATAAGAAAAAGTAGAGATTTTGAAGACTTAAGGGTAACTTATACACCATAAAACAGTGACTTACACCATTCGATGACACTAATTGACTTTACCTCTTTGAGAAACTCATGGCATAGTTAGTAAATACTAATCAAGTTAATACAAGTATATATGGACATACGTTATTATATTATGCATTTGAAAGTTTTTATTTTCGTACTATTTTCAAATTATTTCATTTTTCACGATGACCTCATATTAAATTGGTATAACACATTTAGAAATTCAACATTATATATATGTATTATTTATGTGTAACTTATTTTACTACTATGCTTGTAGGTTCTCGAAGAACATCTACAGAACCAAAGAGCTCTTCGCCTGCCGGACAATCCAAATGCTAATCTCCGGCCTCGTCCTCGGCTCCGTCTTCTCAAACGTCAAATCCGACCTGGTCGGAGCGCGCGAAAAGGTCGGCCTATTCGCCTTCATCCTCACATTCCTCCTCTCCTGCACCACCGAAGCCCTCCCAATCTTCCTCCAAGAAACCGAGATCTTCAAGAAAGAAACCTCCACCGGCAGCTACAGAGTCTCCTCCTACGCCGTCGCCAATTCTCTAATCTACCTCCCTTTCCTCCTCATCCAGTCGATCCTCTTCTCCGTCCCCGTCTACTGGCTCGCCGGATTGAACCCAACCTTCAGAGCCTTCGCGTTCTTCCTCCTCCTCATCTGGATGATCCTCTACACCGCCAATTCCGTCGTCCTCTGTTTCAGCACTCTGGTCCCCAATTTCATCGTCGGGAATTCGCTCATCTCCGGGGTCATGGGATCGTTTTTCTTGTTCTCCGGGTACTTCGTGTCCCGCGGCGGGATCCCCAATTACTGGATTTTTATGCACTATGTGTCGCTGTTTAAGTACCCTTTCGAGGCGTTCTTGATTAACGAGTTCTCCGGCCAGGGGAAGTGTCTGGACACCATGCTCGGAGCCTGCTCAGTCACCGGAGAAGCGGTGCTGAAGGAGGAAGGGTACGGCGGGGAGGAAGGGCGGTGGCGGAATGTGGCGATCATGGCTTGTTTCATCCTGTTCTATCGGTTTGCTTGCTATTTAATTCTCAGGTTCCGGTGCTCTGTTCGGCCGGCGGCAGCGAGGATCGGGTGGGCCGGGTTCGGGTCGGGTAAGGTTTCGGCCCAAAAGCAGAGCCCGGTTGCTGACCTGTCCAAGTCGTAGAGTACGAGGCAGTGTTTAATCATCAAATCGTTTGTGGTTTCGGTAATAAGATACTGAGTTATATGAAATATATAATTTTCTGACGAATTTCAGGAAAACCTTTTTTTTTTTTTAAGGGGATCACAATTCACAGGTTGTAATGATGATGATGTAATTTGTTGGCCTCTGTCGTTCTCTCTGTTTTTTTTTCCCCCTGCCTTTGTTGTGGCTGAAGGAATTGGTTCACATGTCGTTGGAGTTTAGTAGTTTACTTACTTGGAAGGGTACAAAAGAAATGTTTTCTTGTTAGGGTTGTATTTGATAAAAATGGAGAAGTTTGACATTCTTGACTCTGTGATTTTATCTATTCATTTATTTATCGTTTTCATTATATAACTTAAATAATGAATTCTACGTTTTCTCCATTGGGTTTAACACTATGTTTTACGTTATTGTAATGCATGTGTATGCACGCATACGTGACTAGAATAACCCGTTTATTACACTTTTGTTATTGTTGTGGTTGCGAAGAAAGACAGTGTGGTGTCTTTCTCTTCTTTCTTTTTGAGTTTAGTGACCGGTCATTAAAACAATTTTTAAAGATTGCTAGATCGAGCACGCGACACACATAGTGTTAAGTTCAAGAGCGAGTTGTCTCTTCTTCAACATTTATACTACTTCCTTGCCTCCATTTTTCAGAGATCGCCTTGTTCTCTTCCCATATGTTACTCTATACTTCCGTTGCCTTCTTCATCATGTTGTCCCATCCTTCTATAATGTTCGGTAGGTGTCCGAACCTCCTAAAATATCCTTCCGTCAAGAATGCTGCTGTGACAACAACGATACAACCACAATAGCGTGAAAATGAAAAGCAAAGACACGTTTAGTAAGTAATTATGAGAAATCATGAAAGTTGATAATTTTTTTATTTTTAGCTACTTCATTGAGATCCGTTTAGCATCAATGTTGAGACTAAGATAAAAGTGAGAAAATAATGTGACTTGGCGAGTTATGAGAAAATTGAGGAGAGAGAAAGATGTATAAATAATATTGACAATAAAATTTCGATGATGAGTTGAGTTCTGACAAAACATAGAGGAGAAAAGATGTAAATAGTGGAGCTTTAGTTATAAACTCCTTTCAATAAAATTATTACAACAACTGATATGATCCTCGTAAGAAACTGCTTTTGAAATCAGGAAATAAGTTACTTAAATTTCATTTCACTGTTTTCAAGCTAAAATATGTTGTGTTGTCAACTCTTTTTGTTGGAGTAACATCGAATAAAAACATAACTAAATATGTTTTCAATCTCGTGTGGGAATAAATAACAAACGAAAAAGTGATTCCAGTAGTACTACTGTCCGGCGGCGAAAGCCTGGACGGGGAAAGCCTTGGCAACGCCGCCAAGGCTCCTGAACCGAACCTTCCCCGTCGGGGGATCGTCGACGACGATCTCGACGACGGGAGGCCACAGCGCCATGAGCTCCTTGGCCTTGACGCCCTTCATCTTCCTCACCTTGTTCTTCTCCATGTACGCACTGACCTCAACGTCGTAGCTCACCTGCTTGCCAACCAACTCGAACCGGTGCTTCGTCGCCTTCCTCTGCACGATCCAGAAGAAGCCCGTCTCCTTCACGAACCCGGCCTCCGCCACGTCATCAAGCGGCAGCAGCCCTTCCGGCAGCCCGAACTCCTTCAGCAGGGACACAGCCATCTTCATGGCTTCTTCGTGCCCTTTTGCCACGGTTCCTCCTTGCTTTGGATCCGCCATTTAATTGGTGAAGGAGATGATGGGAAGCAGAGTCGGTACGGAGGTTGGTATTTATAAGGAGGAAGACGGGAAGTGGTTAGGGGTGTGCAATGGTCTGTTCCAAGACCAGACAGCATCAAACCGAAATTTGGATTGGATTACATCGGAACGAATATAATGCGGTTTGGTCCTTGTTCCACATGAATTATAATCACCGAAGAAATGATAAATCGAACCGGACCAAACATACCAACCGCAATGATAGATCCGATACTTGGTTCTAAGATGTCTTTTACTAATGGACCACAGTTTTCTTTAGTTTGGTCAAGTCCGAACCGAAACCGTTGCACACCACCTAGAAGTGGTCAAGCTTGGTGCGGGAGATAACGATGAATTAGCAGCATTGAAGGAATCGTTGAAATGGTTGGGTTGATTACTTTTCTAGCTATTTCTTTTAGGGTTTTGTTTCTTTCCGGACGTTTATCTTGTAAGCTTATATACACATATGTATGATGATTAACTGCAGGCTGCATGTTATTCCAAATAAACAGAGGAAAAGCATCTTTGCATTTTGGAGAGCAAGTTGGATTCATTGATTTGTAGGTTCGTGGATTTATAGATTCAAGTGATTATGAAAAACTTTTCGTACTAAAATTTCATTATGAAAAAATTAGGTTCATTAAACAAATTATAGGTTAGGTATCATGTTGTGAAATATGAAATATGTTGATGTTACTATAATTTATTAACGATTTATTAATCGAATCGACGAATCACCAATCTATTTGATTAACGATTTAATATTCAATTTGATTTTGTCCGATGTGGACGAAATCTTTATCAAACCTAACTTTTCTCCAACTATTAGTGTTACCTTCTGTGAGATTAGTGTAAATGTGACTTCAAACATATATGATTGTTGGCTTGATTATGCCAAAAAGCTATTCAAAACAACATTTCAATTGATTCTCATTGTAAAAGTATTTATCGCAACATTGGAATTCAAGCCAGCCAACAATCTATTTAGGATCATTCTCATTGTAGGCGATTAAATCATCATTTTTCTCCATTTCAAATTCGATGAAGAAATTTTATTAGAACTTCTCTTTCGAAGAACGGGATAAAAAATTGAACTCAACCATCTACCGCTTCATTTTTCGTCGTCTAATCCATAATCATGTGACAAAACACTGGCTTGCCTTAATGGTTCCTTCAACAACAAGGTATTAGGAAGGAAGAAAACGAGCAATGTTGAAGCATATATCTTCTATGCTTTCTAATCTTTCTATCCAAAATGTATATATATCAATTGCTGCGGCCAAATCAATGGCGCCTTTTTTTCACAGGGTTAGCAGCAGCTTGCAATCACTCCTAAACATCCGATTAACAATTTTTTAGCCCCAATTAACAACTCAAAACCCCAAAACCTACAAGACTAGCTACCACCTTAAGATGAAGTACTAACATTTCATCTCGTACTACAACTTTCAGGATGCATGGCAGCTGCTGGTTCTTCGATGCTCGAACCTCCTCCGCTGGAATTCTCAATCTTCTCTTCTTCAGCAACCACGACGAGCTTGGATGATGATGTCACTTTTATCTTTTTGCTTCGAGACCTTCGAGAAGACGAGCTACTACCACCCTCTTGTTGTGAGCTCCTCGGCCGCTTCCTCACATCAAGGAACTCATATTGGAGAGCCTCTAGTGCTCGGGTTGTCAGTGGTCGGTTCCTAGTGCTCTGCCTCCTGGATTCAGGGTTGGCGCTCACAGGGTTATAACTCGGCATTTCACCAGGATCGAGGTTACTTGACTCAGAAGCAACAGATTCGGCTTTTTCCCCGACCAGTTCAGAGTCCAGTTGCCTTTGAGGCTGCAGGTTCAAATCGGGTAAAGATTCTGCTACCTCATCACCCTTCATGTCTGAAACATTGGCATTTGACATGACTCCACCACCACATTCTTTGTCAGCACATCCTTCAGCTGATGATGATGATGATAGCTTTGGTTGAGGTCTGACAATGACTTTAAGGGTGTTTTTCTTCACCGTCTTTGATGAATCTAAACCAGAGCAAATCTTTTTTTCTTTGGCTCCAAGTTTAACAGTAGTACAGTTCCCAGTGACATGGCTCATCTCTGTGCTGATGCATGCAGTCAATCTCCGACGTTTGACTAGAGGAACCAAGTTGTTCGAATGGCCAGGTTTAGGTCTTCGGCTGAACTGCTGTACTGGAGCAGCATCCTTGGTTGTCTGATTCCCATTCGACACATTGCTCCCTTCCTTGTAGGAGGTCTTCACAGTGTTTGAACTCGGTTTGGCTTGCTGTGGAGGAAGCTCTTTAGAATCGTGGATTTTGTTTTTCCTATGCAATGCACCATCACCATCCACTTTATCATCGTGAGCTATTTTTCTATTCTCGTCTGAAAGCTTGATCCATCGGCAAGTAACTCTGTCTCCCGATGGTAAATGCCTGAGCTCAAATATCTTGTTGGATGATGATTTGCCTCTACTCGTATCAACGATGGTGAACTTAGCACTGGTTGCAACCTTACCAGTGTTTGGAACAACTTTTGTCTTGGTTTCATCAACCATCTTAATGGTATCATAATCTTTCGGCTTCTGCTTCTCCTCATCCTCATCCTCTTCCTCCTTAGAATCTTCAATCGACAGGCTTCCCTTCATACCTGAAATCCTCGTAACCATAGATGTAACCACCAAATCACGAGGCAAATACCTCATCCTCTTCACCTTCACTAGTCCTCCTCTTTCACCACTGACCGAGCTCGAGTCGACGACAGTGAACTTCATGGACTTAGCATTGCCATTAGAGACTCGAGGCTTGAGGTAATTACGGGACTGAGGTACAACCGAATCATCCTTATTTTCCTCATCTGCTCCTTGAAGTTCAAGCAGCTCCGGTTCAGAAGCCACTCTGCTCAACACATCTGCAACAGAGTCAAAATAGTGGAAGCCCTTCACAAGATCCCTTCTCGAGTACTTTTTGACACCCGGGACAAGAAACACTAAATTGGTTTTGGCATCAAGGTAATTCAGGTTGTTTGGCTGCTCGGAGTGCCACCCTTTTGCAAGAAGCCGAGGCCAAACAGCCTCCCAGAAGATATCAGTGCAACGAGCTTTGCTCAAACGGAAGCCTCCAGTCAAGAGGGTTACTATATCGGTTGGGGTGAGGGATGAGCAAGACTTGGTGGTGGCAGGGTTCGTTTTCATGGACTCCATTCCAGGGTTTGTGAGATCTTCCTTCCCTTTACCGATGCCAATCGCTTCCACTAGAACGTGAATGCCAACTGCAGCCTTTAATATGGATGCATAGTCTTCTAGTGGGATTTTCCCCTCGGCCATAACCTCAGAAATCTGACAATCAGTTAAGGGATAACTTAATCAATTAAATCTCAATCTTATGCAACACACTGGAAGTTCCTAGACTCCAGTGACACCAATTTGTTCAAGCAAATGGAGAAGAACAATGCAGCACCCAGAAAGAAAAGAATATCAGAAATGCTGTTACCTCTTGAAAAGTCTTCTGGTAACTCTCTGAGATGTGAGGTTGCAAGCGAGAGATGAGTTCCTGCTGCCGCCATCCAGTGAACAGTTTGTCACCAGAGACACATTTTCTTCTCTTCACTTTCCGGCAATCAGACCATCGTTTGTATCTATCAGAGCCATAGAACCTCCCATAGTAGAATGACAATATGTCTCCCATCTCTTTGGTGTCAACAAATTTCTTTATAGGAACAAAACTCTTACCAAAAATGTACAAACCAAGGATAAAACTCTCCACTTCATCTTCATTCCAACAGCTTCCCAGTGATCCAGGGACAAATGAATATGTTTCGCTTCCGCATTCGGAGTTTCCCTTCTGTGGTTTAACTGATCTTTCATCGAGTGCTTCATCCTCCAGCTTTGAACCAACCTTCTCGATTGAATCATGCTTCTTCTCAAAATGGGCTGATGATGCATCATTAATCTGTACATCCTTCTGTTCGGAACCAACATTCTCGATTGCATTATGCTTCTTCTCACAGGGGACTGATGGTCCATTATCAAGCAGGTCATCCTTTATCATCGAACCAACTTTCTCACTTGTTTTATGCTTTTTCTCACAATGTATTGATTCATCATCAAGTGGTTCATCCTTCAGTTTTGAACCAGCCTTATTGAGTGCCTTCCGCTTCTTCTCAAAATGTACTGATCTATCATCATCCAGTGGCTCATCCTTCAGCTTGGAACCTGTTTTCTCAGTTGCATTATTATGCTTCTTGCTTTTTCCGGACTTGGTGGACGTCTTTGCATTGCCACAATGGCCCAGTAGTCTCAACTCCTTCTCGGCCCTGCTATCTATTTTATCATGAATTAGCATGATTGAGATGGGGAGACCTAGAAAACGAAGTGAAGCATCTGATATGGCTTCTGACTGTGATTCCAATGGAGGGATTTTCACTTGATAGTCGTCACCAATTCTAGGACTTAGGCTTGGATATCCAGATACACCACATATGTTCAGAGAGCCAGCAGCACACACTAACTGTTCAACATCAGTTTCTTTAACGAGACAATTATCTTGATCCGGTTGAGTAGACTCCATCTGGAGAGATTATGGGCACTAACATGAGAGGCTTAACTTAAAAAGAGAAACCATGCAAATGGTTGTGGTAATTAGAGAAGTTAACACCAACTCAAACAATGAGAAGTGGAGTTTTCATAAGCTGCAGCATAATAACAAATGGATTCTTGACCAGGAAGCATTTAGGATCAGAAGGGCTTAATCCCTAGAGACCACAGTGAGCAAGCTTTGGGATATAAAAGCATACTTCAAGCAGATAATGGGCAACAATAAGCTTCAAGACACCCATTGGCAACAACTAACTGTGATGTTAAAAAAAGTATGAAATTGTTTAGAAACAGGAGAAGCAACTGCTACAGATTGAATCTACAACCAAAAGAACTAGAGAATAGGCGATCCAACAAAAGCCAGACAACAATCCCAAAGCATGTCCGAAATGCGGATAACTTGAGAACGTGAAACACTGCAGTTTGGGGGAAGACAGATGAAAGGTAGCTTACCAGACACCTAAGAAGTTGAGGAATTTCCCCAACTTGAAAGACACAATGTAATCATAAAACAAGGACAACTCCATGATTATTGACATGAACTCCAGCCTAGGAGCTGGAGGTACAAACCTAGAAGGAAGCTATTCCAGTCAAGCAGCCCCAACCAAATACAGGGAAAATGCAGAATCCACATAACCAAGACCTGCAAATTCCCCATCACTTGAACAAGACCCATAATCCAGATTTCAACACACAACCTCCTTGATCATACCTCAACACCAGAGGAATTACGCACTTCTCCGTCAAGCGGCCGGCATATTCGATCTCTTCCCAACCTCGATCTCTCCCACCAACGTGACAAATAACGAAAGCTAAAGAGCTTCGAGCGTCACCAACCCAGAACCCCAAAAATCAACCAATCCCCTCCGCTCCATAGATCCATTTCGGCTCAAACGTAAACATCACACGAACAATCAAACCAACACACAACAAGAGAGCAAAAAACAAAGCAAGAAGCGGAAACGCAACGAATCAGAAACGGGGAACTACCTGCAGAGGAGGAGAAGAAGAAGAAGCTGAAACAATGTTCATAGAGCTAAAGCAACAAGCAAACGAGAAGCAGCAGCAGGAGGAAATCCTCGATACGATCCCAACTTATAACATCAACCACCCATAAAAGACAAAAAAATTCCACCCAAACACCATGTGTAATAATAAAACCGTGAGCTAAAGAGAAGCCACATTCGCCACGGTGATTATGGAAAGCTAAAGAAGAAGAAAAGAAGCTGGTTGACTAACTAACCTCCATGGCGTTTCTTCTCTTCTGCGTATAGAGAGGGAGAGAAAGCTGCGTCTGAGCTTCAGACGTGAAAAAAATTAGATGCACGACGACCCGCCCTCCTGCTAGCCAAAAAAAAGGGGGAGCGGGGGGTTCTCTTCTCATGTTAATGAAAGTGGGCTTCTTTATATACCCAAAAATAAATAAATTTTTTATTTTTACTAATTCGTCCGAGCAAAGAAGAAGGACAAAAGCGAAAACATACATACCCACAAGAAAAAAAAAGATGAAAAGAAGCTACGAAACTCAAAAGACGGCAACTTTGTTGAAAACCCAAAGAAGAGAATGGTAATGACCAGATGGGAGAGGCAGGGGATTGGGTAGCTTTGGAGGAGAAAGGTCTAAGCTTTCATGGGGATGGGATGAGAGAGTTATGTAACGAAAGTAAGGAAGGAAGCACGATGATCCGGCGAGAGAGAACTAAATATGGCTGTCCACTTGGAAAAAAATAATTTATGAGAATAGTAATGGACGCAACTACTTTTCGTTCTTCTTTCGGTTTTAGGTTTGGAGGAAGGAAGGAGGGTAATGGATGCTATGCTACTCTTCCACGAACGTGAAGTGTGTCGATGATGCTATTGTAACGAATTGAATATAGTGTATTTCTCTACGTTAGATATAGATAGACTGTTTTTCTCTATTTTGTTCAAAGTGTCTTATCAATCAAAGTTGGATTGAACTTATGAATTATGGATTTCTTTCGTGTTTTGTTGATGTAGAATTTACATAAGGTGTTAAGTACACTTTTTCTGGGCCTCAATGTTCTCGTTGAGATCCGCACACCATTGCCTAAGTGGGACACGAAGAGGCTTTGATACTACTTGTAACATCTCAACTTTTTTCTGATCAAGCTATTGTCCGTTTTGAGATGTTACAACAATACTTAGGTGCTTTCAACTCGGGGTCGGGAAAATTTTTATGATTTTTACACGTAGAAAAATTAAGAACACAAACCACCTTTTTAGTCAATTCTTATCATTTTGTCTTATAGCTAATAAGAGCATCCACATGACCACATCAATGCAATTGTGAAAACAATTGCATTTGTGCTTTTTATTGTTATCTCAATTCTTTTGCAATCCATTTCACATTACTTTCATTTACTTACATCAATGCAATTATTAACTTACAATTGCATATGTGAGCACAATTATTTTTTAATAAAATAAATGGTTTATATGTTTATTATTCTATCCATACATAAAATAATTAAAATTTATGAATGGCTATGTGGAATTACAAATGGAATTGCAAGAAATGGTAGCTTGTGTTATTGCAATTGAGAATACCATCTAGCGATAGTAATTTCGACCGGACCCGTGGTATCCGATCTGTTTGGCCTGTTTTGGACGAGTCCGACCTGCCCCGTAGGCGTAACGGGGCGGGCATGGGTACTTTCATTGACCCGACCTGCCCCGACCCGCCCCATTCTCGACCCGTTCTTGCCTTAATTACATGTAATCTTTACTCAAATTATTTAGGAATTTTTTTTATTACATAATGTTTTAGCTATAATAAAGATATAAATTAGTGAAAACCTCAATTTCTCAAATAATTAACTATATGTATTATAATATTGTTTGTTTTCTTGGTCCTATAATTAAAGTAACGAATATTTTTAATGTTTTTCCTATAAGTTGCATACCCATTGGGTCGACCTGCCCCGAACCACGACCTGTGATAAATTACCCGACCTGTCACGGGCGGGTCTGGGTACCAAGAAACCCGCCCCGGACCTGCCCAATGTCGTTTCTACTCCCATCAATGCAATTGAATTACTATTGTAATGTCACTTTGCAATTGAATACGAAAGCTTAGTGTGGATGCTCTAAGAAGTTCCTTACTATCGTTAGGGGTGGGCACATGGGTGGTTAATCCACGGATTGAGATCGATCCACCCGCAAATAACCCGACCCGTATGCAGTGGGTGATTGATGTGGCTGGATTACGGATTGATAAATCTCTCACCCGCAGTTATGTGGGTGGGTGGATTGCGGGTCACCCGTATGACCTGCATCCTATCTTTACATGAAAAAAAAATTGTTTCTTATATTATAGATTATTCATCATATTTTTGAATTGCACTATAGTGTGATCATATACTTCAAAAGGTGGAGAATAAATAATAGTTTTGACTACTATTATTGGTTTTTGTGTTGTGTAATATCCATTAGATATTGGATATTGGTATGCAAATTATTGTTAACATTATTAAATATTTTTTTCGTTGAATAATATCTATTAAATATTGGGATGCAAAGTATAAATTATTAATTGTACCAAAATCATAAATTATTGATACAATCTTACTAATTTTCTATGAAATTATTATAAATGTTAGTCAAATTTCTTAATGGCTAGTTGGAGAATTGCTTTTGTGAATTGACCCGCGATCCAACCGCACCTATCCGTCACCCACCCAACCCAACCCGCAAAAGTATGTGGGTAGATTGCGGGTCACAATTATTTAAACTCGCTATTAAGCGGGTGGGTCAATTTGAGTTCAAAACTCACCCACCCGCCCATTCCATCCCTAACTATCGTGGTCGATTTAGTAGAAAAAAACTTCCATATATGAAAATTGTTGTTGTTTTAAGAGGGTAAAAAAAATATGTGCTTAAATTTAATATTTCCAAAAGGGCAACATTAGGTGTGACGGAAGCACGGAGCTAAGGAGTTAATATCAAAAGGAGGAAATTAACATCATTTCTAAAAATAATTTTCAATATTTTCTATAGTTCAAAAAATTAGTGAGCTATTAAGTTAAGCTACGATTTTGGGGACTTGTGACCTATTTTTTTTAATGAAGTACGATTAATAATTGGGTTGAGTGAGGAAGTATTGTAAAAAGCAATTTTATTCATTATTTAATAATTTTTTTATTTTTATTTTTTGGCCTGTAAGCATGTTTAGGTGACGCCTAACTAAACTAGCCACTAGGCAAGAATGCAAGATATAGTGCCCGCTTACAACTAATATCTTCTTGAATCTTATTTTAATATTTTATTAATAAAAAATTCCAGTGAATTTATTTCACGTCAAATCCAAAATAATTGTGTGAAACCCTATAATTTGAAGAAAACTACATCAAAAGAACTAATAATACGTTTTAAAGACTTTCCCTTTCAGCATTTGAAAATCCCAGCCCCGGGAGCGTTTCCCGGAAGGGCCTTTTAGGAAACTCACACCTCCTCCCCTAAACGCAGTTCAACCCTTCCCTCCCCTAAACGCAGTTCAACTCTTTTCCCAAATTCAATTCACCCGACTTTCCCCCGCCAGCAACCTCGGCCCCTGCCCTGCCTCCGCAGTCCCTGCAATCTCTCCCATCATCCGTGCTCGCAATAGCGCCCTCCCTCGCCCATCAATGTCCCTATCCCGGCCTTGGCTTCAGTTTCCTGTCCCCCATTATACCTCCGCTATTTGACCCGCACCTGTGGTTCCGCTGTCGACCTGCCGTAATTGATGACTACGGGCTCACCTCTGCAATACTTCACTTCTGCTGCATAGGTCACAATTTCACCGTCCAACGACTGCCAGCCTTTCCACAACAGGTTACCCTTAATGGCCTACACTGTTCTCTTATAGTGAATGGTTTTTCCTCCAATTCCCAAATCCATCTTCTTCCCTGTTGCCCAATTGGTGTTCCATCTACAGTTATTGCTTCTTTGTTGTTGAACCCCTTACAGGTAATTGAGAGCCTTCCAACGTCTGTTGTGCCATAAAAATCCGATGGTTCGTCGTCGTAAAACCCCAGCGGCTTCCTCCTCACAAGCTACTGCAGCTCACAGTCGGCATTTTCCTGGTCAATGTAATTGCAATTGGTTGATGCCTATAGTGATTCCTACAATCGATTGGCCGATCTCAATTATACTTCCTAAAGTTATCGGGTTCTTGCTTGATTAACCAACCTCCTTGCTTTGTTAGGGAAAGGCCGAGCCATTTTTTTGCAGCCTGCTGCTCCTACCACCAAAGATGTCGAAACAGAGATGGAGCATCTTAATCGAAGTACTCGTTGTTGCGTATCTTCTTCTCATTATTTTGAATCTGCTGCATTGTTCCCCCATAAGATTGACTTGAATCAAGTGGTCCATGATGCAGAGATTAACTCATTAACTATGGAATTGAGCAATATTGAACGTGCACTCGCGAAAATTAGGCGAAATTCCAGGCGACTGCGTCTACGAATCAAGCGCGGCCTGACAACTAATACCCATGCTTCTAATGGTACCAACCCTTCTCATCCATGAACTACCTGTATTTACTTTAACTTTCACAACTACAATTATTACACAGGTCAATTTCAAATGACAATTCTACTATAAATGTCCTTACTATACTTTGATATCAGGTCATAATACAGCAGATTCTAGACTGCTTTCCAAGCGACAACGAATTATGCGCTCTATTTCGTTGTGTAAGAGGCGCCAAGTCATGTTGTTCCGAGAGGATTTGCGTCACCATGGTTTGTATTTTAATTGGCTACTCTTCTTTTGAAGCATTTGGAACGTCTTGCAGGAGATTAACAACAAGTTATGTTCCATATTCAGGCTTTCCATCGGTTGAGATGTATGATTTGGGTGAACCATCATGCTTATGTGAGTTTTGTGGAGCGGTTCTATGGCCGCAGGAAAGTACCTCGGTTGCCAGGGGGTCATACACAACCCAAATTCTCTTTGTGCTGTAAACAGGGGAAAATCAACCTCCCTGCAAAACGTGAACCACCTGAGTTTCTAAAACATTTATTGCATTCTGGCCTACCAATTAGCCGACATTTTCTGCAATATATATGACTGTACAACGGTGTCTTTTGCTTCATTTCTCTCGGTGGCAAAGTGGATCGTCGACTGAATGATGGTTCTGGTGTGTATGTGTACTCTATCAGTGGACAAATTTATCATAGGATTGGCAGTCTGCTCGCTCCCAAAAGTCAGCCACCAAAGTTTGCTCAGTTATATATACATGAATCCTCTTCTGAATTGCAGAATCGTCTCAATGTATTCTCATCAGACCAAGATGCTAATTCATTACGTCCAGATATAATCCAAGGGTTGCAAGACCTGTTTGATGAGAACAATATATTGGCTCAGACTTTCAGAACAGCGAGGGACAAATTGAATGAAGGTCATGTCCAATCAATGAAGCTAAGACTGTTGGCAAAACGTGCACAGGATGGCCGGGAGTATGATTTACCTACTGGGAATGATATTGCTGCGTTGGTTGTAGATGAAACAGGCCAGGACACATTCGAACCAGAAATTGTTGTTGAGTATCAAAGCTCTAAAATTGAAAGGGTCAGCTACTACCATCCATCTTTGATGGCTTTGCAATATCCAATCTTATTTCCTTATGGGGAAGATGTGTGGCATCCAAACATTAGTCTTGATGATGCCGAAAATCTGTGGAATGACAATAATTTGACTCAGTGTGATTATTATGGGTATCGTCTCCACACTAGATTGCACGAATCTAACTCTTTGTTGGTGGCGGGAAAACTATTTCAGCAGTATGTTGTCAACGCATATGCATTGGTTGAAGCTAAACGGCTGGATTAAATACGAAACAACCAGCACAAATTATGTCTCCATTATGTTAGTGGGTTGATAGATTCATTTCTTCGAGGTGATACCGATCTAAGTTTGTCTGGCAAGCATGTTATTTTAGCTGCTTCGCATACAGGAAGTCCACGATACAAATACAAGAATTTTCAAGATGCAATGGCGATATGCAGGTGGATGGGTTATCCCGATTTATTCATTTCTCCGAGGTGATACTGATGTTATTGCACGAGTTTTCAAGCTCAAGCTGCATCAATTAATGACTAAAATTCGAGACAAGAAAATCTTTGGCACCACAATCGGCCGTAAGTCACTCATAGTTTGTCTATTTTTTTTTAATGACCTGTCAGTTTTCATCGTCATATTGCCCTCTCATATAATTTGTTCAATTTCAGATGTTATGGCAATTGAATTTCAGAAGCGTGGTCTTCCCCATGCTCATATCTTGGTTTTCCTATCGGGGGAAGACAAATTAAAAGGTGCAAAGGAAATTGATTCAGTCATCTCTGCAGAAATCCCGAACCCCCATCTTGATCCCGAGGGCTATCGAGCTGTAAAATCGTATATGTTGCATGGACCATATGGTATTTTA